CTGCTCCTTCTCAGCCTTGTTTACACATGATTTTAATTCCCACCATTCCTACCACTAGTTCACTTTCACTAGGGCTACCAAATATGGGAGTGCTAAGATAGACAAGACACAAGTGATTACCTGGAGATCTGACTACTTTAGGATTCTGTTTGTTTGTCGGTACTAATAAAGGTACATTTAATTGGCAGAAGAAATGGTTGGAAAATGTCATTGCAACACTTTTCAGTCAGAAAATGCTGTTTTGATGACAAAACATATGGATCGTATGTTTTGAAATTGAAGTCATATGGATTTTAGTAACATTTTGTTTAGAAAGAAACTGCAAAAAAAGTTCTGAAAATGTCAATGCATCCCACTTCAATGGTGGCAGAACATGCTGCTTAGATATTTCAGCGACAAATGTATTTTTTTTGTATAAGAAGAGGAAAATTGTATAGAAGTTCACTGCCATGAACTCACTAATTTATTCATTTGTCAATGCACTTATTCCATGTGTGACCTCTTCCTCTCACTTTCCTATTTCTGTCCATTTCCTAACTTCTGCTACAATCTAAATCAGGGTGTTCAATCCATGGCCTGCAGGTCCGATAGCCATGTCATCTGGCCTGCAAGGCTCCTCAAAGGTCAAAAAATTTGGCAGCAGAGGAACTGTGGACACTCCCCTGTTGCTAAATTTCTGGAACCAAGGGGAGCTCTGCAGGCCAGACAGCATGGCCTCGTGCACTATAGATTTCATAGACATTAGGGCTGGAAGGGACCTCAGAAGATCATTGAGTCCAGCCCCCGACCCAGAAGGCAGGAAGTCAGCTGGGGTCATAGGATCCCAGCAAGATAAGCATCCAGTTTGCTCTTGAAGGTGTTCAATGTAGGTGCTTGAACCACCTTCGATGGCAGGGCTATTCCAGACCTTGGGGGCTCGGACAGTAAAGAAATTCTTCCTTATGTCCAGCCTGAAATGGTCTTGTAGTAGTTTATGACTGTTTGACCTCATCATCCCTTGGGGCGCTCTGGTGAACAAACGCTTCCCCAGATACTGGTGGTCACCCCTGATAAACTTATAGGTGGCCATCAGGTCACCCCTGAGCCTGTGCTTTTCCAGGCTAAAGAGCCCCATAGCTCTCAGCCTGTTGTCATAAGGTCTGTTTTCCTGACCTCTGATCATGCACGTGGCTCTTCTCTGGACTCTCTCAAGCTTCTCCACATCCGTTTTGAATTGTGGAGCCCAAAACTGGATGCAGTACTCCAGCTGTGGCCTCACCAAGATAGGTGTGTGGGGCCCAATCCAGGTATACAGAACCAGGCAGAACTGACATGGAGATAATCTAGGCACAGAGAGGCCGGGCAGAAGTGGCATGGGACCTGATCCGGGTGTGCACAGCTGAGGGGAAGTGGTTTAGAGCCAATCTGGCCTGTAGACCAGCCCTGTGACCCTTATTTAGCCCACAGGGCTCAAAGGCTGGGCACCACTGATCTAAATCCTTTAGCCTCTTCCCTGTATCTGTGTCTCAGAGTCCATCGATAGTACACAGTATACAGCCAGTGACCAGATCTCTTCAAATTGGCAGCTAGCTCTACCTCCCAGAGCTTGTCACAGAGGTAGATGTTTGTTTCTGAGGTCTCTCTCCATACTCCTCAAGCAGTATAACTCCTTCACCCTGCACAGGTGTCATTGGCAGTCCCTTTCTCAGAGAACAGATGTTTTTTACACTTCCTCTGGCCTAGCTGGACACAGAAAATGCTCAAAATCTGTCCAGGACCCTGATCCAGTGACAACCTGAGCCTGCTGCTACAGACCAGTTAGTTCGGAGATTTTCGATCAAAAAAATAGAACTCAAGTGCTTATTCCAACCCATCTGAACAAAGCTGGCAGGAGGATGGGAATTCTGTTTCATGAAGAATTCTTAAATTTACCTTTATTTTAAAACATAAAACTATTTTAGAATCATTTCCCTTTTTGATACATTCAACTGTTTTGTTTTAACAAAAGTTAAAACATCACATTTTCATTCTGACTTTTGATTTTTGTTATATCAGACTATAACATTAAAATATAAAATAAAAACACATTTTAAAATAAATAATAACTTTACGTTCAAATATATATAGCAATGGGACAATTTAACATTGTTAGCACTTTTTATTTGCAAAATTGAAATTTCAACAAAATCAACATGATTTTGTGAAGTTTTTTGATTGCTATGATATTGCATTTTCTGATGGAAAAAGGTTGTCAGACACTACTTATGAAGCTCACCTTATAAACATTCCTTTCTTCTCCCTTTTCCAGCACTAAAATATCCCTTTTCTACCACTAAAATGGTGTCCCTACTGGCTGGTCACATCTACTTTCCCCATAATGGAACTGACAGCAAGAAACCCTCCTATTCCTCTAGAAGTGACTGAAGTATCCCTTTCTTTAGTCGTGCAGGCCTCTTTCCCCTCTCATGCTGGAGGGCTTTGGCTTCTGACTTCATGCTCTTGGCAGATTCAGAGATGAGAGACTTCTCTGTGGTATTTATTTCATATACAGACTGTGCAATTGCAGTGCGTGGGACAGCAAGTATAATTGGTAACCACTATTTCCTGTTGATTTAGCTACCACCTTGCAGTCATTAATAACACCATCTAACAACTCCTGGTCCTTTAATTTTGGTCTAAATCCACTATGCTGCTTCAATCCTGTCAATGACAGGTGCTGCTACCCAACAAGAGAGCCACATCCATGCATTATCTGTACACTAGATTTCCACTAAGTTATAAACACCCCACACAGGTGTTGCTTCCTCACATAAACCCCTTCCTCTTTCCATACACGTGGTCACTGCCATAAATAGTTTATGGGTGAGCAGAGGTGGCTGTCAACGAAGTGCACTGGGAGACTCACTCAACGGTGGGCATGTTTGGGGCAGACATCGGGCTGACTTCCTTGGCTTTCTGCAGGGCGTGCTTCTGGTTAAAAGCCTCCTCCTCCTCCTGCTCATCCTAAACATAGAATAAATTGGGTTATTACATGGGAATACAAGGGAATTCAGATGTTCTGAGGGATCTGCATGGTCGTGTTAGATACACGGCACTGAACACCAGTTTATGAGCAGTGAACGAGAAAAGGAGAAAGAGGAGATTCTGGGTGAGGCAACAAGCTTCATAGTAGCTAGGGTCGGGAGAGACCTGAACAGATCATCTAGCCTGACCCCCAGCGATAGGGGAAGCCTTTGGAATTTCTGGATGTGGCTTTGATTTTTGCTGAAACTATAACAATGTGGTTTCCTCATTATACTACATCATTTCTAGGGCTGAAGAGGCTTCTCACTAAGACAATTTCCACAGGAGTGAATTATATCACCAGGGATCCTGGTTTTCCCTGATAAAAAAAAAAAATCACCAATTCTCTGATAAAAAATAACAAATTCTCTGATAACCCACCCCCCGCAATCCGTGATTAAAATGATAGGCCCCCTAAAGCCCCTCCAGCCCTGCTACTGGTGCCTCTCACAGCCCTCCAGTCTTGCTGGTGCCCCTCACTCCCTCGCCACAGCCCCACACCCCTGCTGGTGCCCCTCACCCCCCTCCACCAGCCTTCTGGCCCTGCTTGTGCCCCTTACTCCCCTTCCACAGCCCCCACAGCTCTTCTGGTACCCTTCACCCCCCAAAGCTTTGCACAGCCCTACTGACTGCATAGTAGCTCATTACTACTACACGGTAGCTTGTTACTACTCCACAGTAGCACTGCATCACAGTTTGTGCCACGCAATGCTACTGCACAGTAGTAACGAGCTACTGTGGCACTTAAACATTATTCTTTGCTTCGATTGGAGCTTAAATGGCACACAGTTCTCTGTTCTATTCAAAGGATAGGAGATGTATAATCTTGATGAGCTTAAAGGAAGGTCCGGGTGAGGATGA